ATGCAAAACTGTGCCAGGACTATGAAACACTGACTCACTGGTAGTATTGTGCATGTCTACGTGACGATTGTGAATGTTCAACAAATATAACTGTACCTAAAGGTACTGGATTTCATAGGAGTCCAAATTTCATGTGACACTGGAAAAGTGTTTAAGACTGGTCTTTATCAACCGTTAAAGACATAATGCATAAGAATGCATTATTATTAAAGACCAACGTTACGGGCTCTCAACCAATAAGAATGGGTGAACTGTCTAGTTACAGTTGTTTTCCTAGTTTCAGATCGCAATCAATATTCAGTCTACTTTCGGCTCAACTAATCCACGAATTCAAGTGACATTGGTTGAAAAGTTTATCTTGAGTGATGGAGATACTAGTTAATTTTCCAAATTTTAAGCTCTTTTCATTTGCCTTTGCGACAGCAAAAGTATCAATCTGCCACTTTTCCTAGTTCCGGATCAATACTATAGCTCCGTGGTTTAATGAGTTCCGAATTGATCAAAAACTGCTTCGCACAAAAAAAAAAAAAAAATTCACGCAACATGTGTATGAGAAAATCAATTATTTGAAGAAAAAAAAAGGTTGCAACCTAATGCCACTTTTTTCTTCATAATCCTCTCATTAAGACTAGAGTCAGTCATTGCAAAAATGTTTGCAAGACATGAGTCTGGGCAGTGGCGCACCCAAGGCCCCCCCCCCCCAAAATGTCAATTTTTTTTATTTATTTTTTTGGTAGGCCTAGCTAGCCTAAGGCCTAATTTGTTTTTAATTCCATGACTTGACCTTGGTGACAAGTCTATGTGGCCTATTTTTGAGGAGAATAACATACAGGTGTAAGTGGCGCCAGAAACGTCAAAATAGTCCGCTCCCCCCCCCCCCCCAAAAACAAAAACAAAAAAACAATTTTTTTTCTGCAGCTGAAATGTTTGGGCAAAATGTTTTCAAAAATTTCAACTTCTTAAAAACCTAGAAAAAATTGTGAACCCCCCCCCCCCCCCCAAGCCAAATCCTGGGTGCGCTACTGAATCTGGGTCTGAGAAACATACCAATTTCGTTAGGAAATAAGCTAGGCCTAGGCCTACTTAAACATTTTCCGGACTCTCCATTGACTTTGTACACAACTGAAATCAGTCTGAAGTCTAGTCTGAAGAGCTAGAGGAAGCCTAGCCCGACTGCGTCTGGCCGTACAGTACTATCGCAAGCTCTGTAGTACAGAGCTTGCGATAGTACTGTACGGCCAGACGCAGTCGGGCTAGAGGAAGCCAGGCTAGAGGCGTCAGGATGCAACATTTTTTTCCCAATTTTTCAGCCAGAACCATCCCGATTCAAGCACATTTTCTGATAAAGTATTATATATATTTTCTAAAAAACAGTAAATTCAAGAAAATTCCAGCAATGTTTTAAAAAGAGATTTGACGTAAATGAGTTTGAAACTTTAGCAATGTTTAGTGCCCCATCACAAAAAAAATGCTTCAACGAGAAAAGTTTCATTCAATTTCATTTGGTTCGCCCTAACCCCTATTTGCTAACTCTCCTGTCACGAACATTTCAGCCCCAGTATTTCATACATATTACCTTGATAATGTCAAGTACCTGAGCACTCGTTCAAAATCCAAGAAATGTCAAAGTGGTTCGGTGAAACTTACGAGAATTTTGCTCACCAACTTGACAGCTGATGCGGCCAATTTTTTTTTTGTAAAGGGCCGCCGGTCGTCTGCGCAGCTGCTGCATGATACTCACGTCACGCGCGCGTACGTAGTTAGCTGTCGACAGAGGGCGCTTTTACAAAAAGACGGCACATGAAGGAAAGCATAGTATCAAGCTGACAAAAAAATAGGTAGCCCAGAAATATATCAATTTTTCTGGGCTGAAACCCCCCCCCCCCCCCAATATTCCTCCCTTTATCATCAAACCTAGCAACATATCAAACACACAAATATATCAACCCAGAAATAAATATAGCCCATAAAAGCCTCAAGCCCAGAAATATATCCAGACTTTTTTACTTTTGGCTTCACAAGTTTGGTCAAGTGCTGCGCGCCTTGGGGTGGAAAAAACCCAGCATATCCCATATCACAGCAGTCAACATTTGTTAAATGTACCCCTCGTTAGAAAAGGAGAAAATAAATAGGATTTACAGTTGGGACTGATTGCATTGAGAGAAACAAAAGAAAAGCAAATGTGAAGATTGATACAGTTCATCTTGACAGGAAACCAAAAACAAAAAACGGAAACAGGACAATACAAACAACGGGGATGAACACTGCATATGTTTTTTTTTCTAACTACAGAGAAAATGGGTGAAAATTAAAACTGGACACTTGTATTTATTTTTTTAATGGGTAAAACTTGATTATTGTTTCCCAAGAGGTAGTATTGTAAGAGGTAGTATTGTATTGCAAGTTAACCTTGCATTATTTTTAACTTAGGCCCCCCCCCCCCAAAAAAAAGGTCTCCGGTTTCTGGTATGGAGCTTGCCCAAAAAGTGGTGCGGCGACGCAGCTTTTCTTTTTTTTTACCTGTTTTTGTTTGCTTCAAAATGTCGGCTGGTGACCGCAAATGGTGCCCGACTAAACTTAGTGCAAATATATTGGAGTCCAGAGAGGCCACATAAAGCTTATTCTCGATCATAACCCCATCTAAAACACGTTACAATTGTGCAGCAGCAGGATTCCAGTCAAACCAGCGAGTTTGGTGGTTTTGAGACATCATCTTTTATTGAAAAAAACTTTTTCATTTTGCCGACGCGCATGGCTACGGCGACGCGCGCGCATACCAGAAACCGGAGACCTTTTTTGGCCTTAAATACATATATTTCAGGAAAAAACATTGGCAAAATTCGGGAAAAAATTCCCCTAGATATTAAAAATTGTATTAAGTAAGCCTTGTGTTTTTAAGAAATAAAATGTTATTAAAACTCTAATAAAATAAGCAAAAATAAAAAGTTTATGATAGGAGGAAATTCAATCAGTTAAAATAGCATTTACAAAGAAATATTTACCACTGTACCGAGATACAGGGCGAGTAAAAAAAAGCAGAACCCACAAAATATATTTCATTTAAAAAAAAAAAATGTAGCACCAAACATAATAACTGGAAAGCTAATTTCATAAGCAACTTTTAGATGAAAAAAACATTACTGAATGCTTGTTTAACAACTATAGTACACAATATCTTTATTAACAACCCTGGTTAGGCAAACAATATGATTTATAAAATCTACTTTTTTTTAAAGACGGGCCTTCAAAAGGACTTAGTTGAATATTTCTAACTTTTAAACTGAGGTTTTATCGATGGTGATATTTGAAGACAATTGTGAGGACTCTTGAAATTGCATTTTTGGATGAAAGAAGTTTTTGGGTCATTGCGTTAAAATGGTGATACTCTTTGAATGGATTGAGCTATTTCAGTAATTTTTTTCCCCATCTAAAAGTAGCTTATGAAATTGGCTTTCTGGTCATTATGTTTTGTGCTACATATTTTTTTAAATATGAAATATATAATTTTTGGGGGGGAGTTGGGTTCTGCTTTTCTGACTCACACTGTATTATTATTTGACTTTTAAACCTTTTGTTGTGAAATGAAGCAAAAAATATAAAAATCTTGCATAGAATATATTTATAAAGAGCAATTTCGTCAGTAAATGCATGAGAAAATACAAACTCTACTAATCTCGGATTATAAGTTCAAAGAGTTGTATTTTCAATCAATCAGAAATAATTTTCAAGAAGAAAATGATTGAATTTAGCATTGCTTTTTGCAATCAGAATTTCCGTTCCGTTGGTCTGACGAGGACATCATGTACCTGTGATAAAAACACACAATACTGCAAGTCAGACACCATGTGCAGTTTATTATTGTGGATTGCAAATATGTCTGTTTTACTAGATACCCATAAGAAATTATAAACCACAACTGTATTTTTGCTTTCTTTTTAATCCTGAACAAACTCAAAATGCAACAAAGTCGATGACTGGAGCGAGGTTTTCAGCCTACAAATACCATTACTCACGCTATAATACCATTACTTATACTCATGCAGCTTTATGAATGTATTGTTTTGACAACGAAATTGATCATTTCTTTTTACCTCAATTGTTTTGATGTTCCTTGCACAGCCAATGACAGATTTTCAAAATGTTTATGGCTCATCCAATATGATATGAACAATCAACAAACTGGCGTTTTACCCTAAAAACTAACACTTCCTCGTCAAGCAAGCGCGCAACTACAGAACACGCAACTTTCCGATCATCCCGCCATTTTACTTCAGTCAAAAAGGCCCACGTGGCCAGTAATTTATGGATGCCCATAATGGAAACCAATTTGGCCTCAGTATGAAAACCCTACATTCTCAAGAAAGTACAAGGGTTTAAAATTAACGCAAACCTGTAATTTCAACTTAACTAGCGGTGCAATCTGCAATTTAACTTTGTTAAGCTTACAGTTCTCAAGCCGTTGTCACGGCGGTCACGTTAAGGCCAAGGACGTTGAAATTCACGCCGGCGTGAAGCGCCCCCTCTAGTGATCATCCAAATTCAGTTTTTGTGGGAGAATTTTTGATCAACTTTTTTCGAAGTTTTTCATACATTTTGGGGACAAACTGTGGGATTTATTCCCTTTCATTGCTTTCTAGTGCACTACAAAAACACTGAATAATGCAGTGTATGAACACAATATCTCCCGTTATTTACAAATTACACTATTTACGAGTCCACATTTTAATCTATTTTTTAGGGTCATAAAAAGCTTCCTTTTTAATTTGTACTGCATTGTTTATAACCATACATTCCTAGCTTTATGAACAGTATAGGTCTATTTTAAGAACGTAAAACTAGCTAGTGGCCTTTGTACCACGTGTACACCCCCCTCAAAAAAAAATCCCTTTGTTGCTCACAATAGATCGTCAATATAGAAAGTCACTCACCCGTAAAACAGGCAACAATCAGGTCATGGGTGTTTAACTATAGTGTACATGTATGTACATGTACATGTACAGTGTACACGTACATGTAGTAAATGCTGTATCAACGAATTCGAATTCCAATATTTACGATTATTCTAGCCTGTTTTGGCTGTTTTTTTGACGGATAAAGTTGTGATGACTTCGAAGGAGGAATCGATGAGGAGATGGGCGGGGCGAGTGGCGCTAGTCACGGGGGCGTCCTCGGGTATCGGCAAAGCGATCGCTAGGACTTTGGTACAACACGGGATGAAAGTGGTCGGATGTGCACGTAACGTTATAGCCATTGAGGTACACATTATACATGTAATATAAACTGCTTGGTCATTCAAGTTTATAACCAAAACGAATATCCAGATCTGTAATGATTGCTCCCAAATTTTAAGTAAGAAAAAAAAAATTGCCAAATTTCTTGAAGAGCAAACAACAAGCTGCCGATTTTAGTAAATCATTTTCCAAAGTTTCCCGAAATTTCCAAACACTATTTGTATTTTGAAACGGCTGCAAATTGAGTGAATCTTTTCAAAACTTTTTTGAAAGATTCACAAACCTTTGTCCAAAAAATATATTACCAAAAAGAATATAAACAAATTGCCGATAAAAATCAACTGGGAAAGAATAAATTATTCGAAACGGCTTTCGTAAAATACAAAGGCCAATAAACCAAATCAACTTTTTTGTTTCTCTCCTTTCCTTTTTTTTCCCCAGGAAGAGTCTTCTTTGCTCAAGGAATCCTCATCCCCCGGCCTCCTTCATCCGATACAATGTGATTTGTCTCAAGAGAAGGAAATACTGGCCATGTTTGACCAGATATGGAGGAAGTTTGGAGGAGTGGACGTGTGTATTAATAACGCAGGGATATCGCATGCGGCCAGTCTTTTAGATGGGGATACGCAGAAATGGAAAAATATGCTGGATGTAAGCATTTAGGACAAAGCTGTAAATTTCTAACTTGAAAAACAATGCTTGAAGAAAGAATATCCTAGAATCTTTTACTTAAAAACTGCAGTTTGAAATTGGGACTTTGTGGTGATAATGGAATACCACTACATTGTATTTCAGTGTTTGGGTTAAATAATTTTTAAGGGTATTAATTTTAAAACATTTTGGGAACTTATTGAGATAGTGAGAAATTTTAGAGCTTCTTGACAAATGGGGTTCAGGGTACATTGAATAGGATGTTTGGGGATAACTTTGGGTTGGGTGGGGGATGGGGCTGGGAATGGGTTTAGGGAGCAGTTGTAAATCGGGAGACAATGTCAGGTTCTTAATACAGTTTTTTCTGTTTTTGTTGGAAACTGACCGATGCACTAAAACTGAAATATCTTAAATATACATTTTAATTACATAAATGAACCCCCGAAATTGTTTTTTATGGAAACTATGAGTTATAGTCTTCAGCCCCCTATTGGACTCAACATTGTTTTGTTTTTTAATCAGTAACCTGAATTTTGATACATCCTGCAGGTAAACATTTTGGCAGTTGCAATATGTACAAGGGAAGCTGTCAAACAGATGGCCCAGAAAGGAGCAGATGACGGTCAGGTCATCAATATTAATAGGTATGCTCATGAATATTCATAGTATGCTCATGATGACTATTTCATACTAGAGTCAACAGTTACCAATTGATAACCAGTTCGTCAATATGAATATAAGCTCATGAATATTCATATCAGACTCATCAACAGTAAGCAGCTGATGGTGGCCAGTTCATCAATATTAAAATATGCTTATAAAGTTATGAATAATTCACTCTTCCATGTCAAGAACAAAATCCACTGTGTTCCTGGGCTTTTTCCTGGTTTACAACAAATAAAATAGCAAATTCAAAACCATTTCTCAGATGCAATTATGGCACAATTTAAAAAAAACACTCTGATTTTTCAACTACATGTACACAATATAATTTGCATAAATTAGAATCTCATTATACTTCCCAAATGGGTGTGAATCGCCAGTAACATCTATCTCCTACAGATACAACTTTTAATCATTTCAATTTTTTGTTTGTCCCAGCATCTCAGGTCACAAGGTGACACAGAGTAAAGACAGTCATTTCCACACAGCCACCAAGTTTGCCATGACGGCCATGACAGAGGGCGTCAGACAGGAACTCAGGGAGGTGGGATCTATGATCAGAATTGCCGTAAGTTAACAATTTTGTAACAATTTCATTCAAAAGTCCCACACAATACTGCCCTCAATCAGACTTTTTAGGTGTGTTGCAACCTTTCGTACATGTACTATAAACTTTAAAGTTGCTGTTTTTCACATTTCTTCTGCATTCTGAATGGTAAAAAACTAGTACAGTGTAGTTATTTTCAAAGCATACAAATTGTGTATGTAGTGTCTATGTTTTTTGTTAACCGTACATGTACTTCAATTTATTTGGTGCAGAGTATATCCCCAGGTATTGTTGAGACGGAGTTCGTATCTCGGATGTATCCTGATAACCCATCCAAGCCTGCAGCAATGTACAAGTCAATGCAGGTATGGCAAACAGGGTGACAGACCCAAAGACAAAATGGGTGACGGACCATGAGATACAAAGGGTGACAGACCCTGAGACAACATGTGTGATGGGTATTGGGAGAGTAAAATTTATTTCTGCATATGGAATGTCCAGTGTGACATTCACATGGGAAAAAATACAACCACATGAGCTAAAACAAAAATGCAATAACATTTTCCTGATCAGAAACTCAAGTTTTAATCTTTTCATTTGTGTTGCAGTGTATGCAACCAGAACAGATCTCGAGTACTGTACAGTATATCATGGAGTTACCACCACATGTGCAGGTAAGATAGGGGGAATCAATTTGACGTTAACTGTAAATATAATCTTTATATTCACTGACTAAATCTTTCCTGCTCATGGCAAATAAGAAATATTTAATGTCTGAATTATGCATCTCCTTTTCATGTGTTTTTTTTCCCATTTCTTCTTTCGAACACAGGTTCACGATGTTCAAATCCGGCCAACTGAACAACGAAACTGAGATCATCACTGACTTTCAATGGAGAAAAGTTGCTCACAATCAATGCAAATAAAATTGGAATAAAATCATGATATACATTTGTAATGAAAAAAAAATTCCATAACAATAACAAATCATATTTTCATATTGGAAGAACAAAATCTCTACCAACTGTGAATCTCAGGGTTTTGCGTCCTCAAATATGACCACTTTCTGTTGCATCAGCAACACACAAGAAAGACGAGATCTAACTTCTTGAAAACATTTGTATTTTTTTTGATAATTTAACAAATAAGAAGACAATACAGTATCCTAGTGTAACATCACACCCCTTTTCCACAAACCTTAATTGGTTTATCATACAAAAAGAACTCTTATGTTACGTGTAACAAAACATATAAAAATAATCTCTGAATTTATTTCCAAAAAGTACCTTCCGTTTCTCTGATCAACATCAGCTGGTTTGGAGTGCAGATTTTTTCTTCTTTTTGGCCTTGAGGACAGGTGCTGTCTTCAACTTAAACGCGGTGCTGGTGAGAGATATTTGCATCCAGAATATTATTTTTTAAGACATATTAGTCAGGTTGATATGTAAACAATTGTTAATGTATAATTTTGTATATGTAAACATCGGGTAATAATAAACATGTTTTGTAATCTGTAAATTAGGAAATGTGAATTAGCTTTGAAGTAATTAAAGAATAAAAGATAGAAATAAACTTTGTGTGTGTTTTTTTTATATAATATTGATTTATTGTAGGCAGTCGGGTTCGTAATTAGCAGTCATTTTTTTTATACAATATAATACTTTGAAGCGTTCAAGATAAATTTTGCTGGTTATATACTTACTGGCAAGTGGAGCAAATTGGACTGTAAGTGCAGAAAACTGCGTGAGAAAGAAAGCAATTATTTTAAGAATTTCAAGCCTGATATCAATTCAAACAAAAGTATTATTCAGATGTTTTCATTTCAAATACAACACGAGGCAAACCTTTTAAAACATGGCAAATTTTTTATTAATTGATTGTATGGTTTCAATCAAATTTTAAAAAAAAACGAGAATAAATTTGCTGGTCCCAGAGGGCCATCCCAGTTTTGTCTGTATGAGCCGGGCAGTGCCATCATATAGGATTACCCCACAATGCCAATGAATGGGCTACATTCGGCCCATTGTGTAGACCACATGCATGAAATGACTTCCAGTGAGTAGCCAGTCTAAATAGACTACACTCTTTTCATTTTTTTATATACAAAACTGCTTACTTGATAGGCAGACAGAGCACACATATCCAATGTCAATGAGGGTGCGATGACAGAAACATGCTGCACGGTAATCAACGTGAATCGCTGGAGGAAGTGTTAATGTGTCACGTAGGCTGGGGTCTGGTAGAAAAACCCACTGAAAGAAAAGATCAAGATGAATCTTGGCATATTATAACTGTATACTCATGGAGGCCCCTGTAATGACAAAAGTATTGTACAGAGTAACGGTTCCAGGACGTTTATTCTGAATTATAGCCAGCACGATGCTACTTGAATGGCAAATTACAAAGTACCAAGGTAACAGGGACAGGAAAAATGTCAGACTTTGACCCTCGATTTATTGAATGACCCAAGGTCTTTGTGCAACTGTGAATCAATAGGAAATATGAAACAATACTTAAAACTTGCTTGATTATTTTTTTTCATGCATGATCATCGTTTTACTTGTACTTACCAGCAGGTATTGCAGGAGACCGCTTATCTGTGGTATTTTGAGGTACATACCGCCGGTAATGTCACACGCCTAGGAAGAAGATAAAAAGGAACAAGTCTATAAATAATCCATAAACTTTACATCGGTGAAGCGCAAAACCCAATGTTTTGAAAGTCTAAGATTCAAAGTTCAACCCACGTTGGCTATCATGGTGCTAATGTCCCGAAGCAATCACTGTAGCAATCATTCTACCAAGCCAGGGTGAAGTTAAGGGACATTGGCACCATGGTCGCCAAGTTGGATTTAACTTTGAATCCACTGAAGATCCAGATCACTGAGTTCTTTCACCTGCTGCAGCAGTCCGGAATCTTTCTCCAAAATGCAAGCGTCAATCGGAATACTCTGACGACAAAAGAAGACACACACAAATATCAAATTGGTTGCTGCAGTAGACATCCAATAATTTACACCATGTTACATCTCAAAGTGTATTTCAGAGGTCTATGAGTGGAAAGAGGAAAATCGCAGAAAGAAAAATTGCAAAATTTACATATTTATACCAGAATAAATGTAGCCAGACTGATTGCAATGAACATACATGTACTTTGGAGACTGTGCAGTTCCTGCAAGCCCTCCCCCCTAGAATAAAAGTAAGAAAGCAAAATAAAAGCATCCTTGTGAGGAAACTTTGGGATGAGTTGAGTACCTGTTTTTGCGCAGTGAAGATGACATTCATGAAGTTCATGTACTGAGAGGCACTATCATCTGCTGCTTTGATGACCTGAAGAAGAAAAGATCAAGGAAATGATTGAAAAAGATGGGACAGTGTTAGGTGGATCAGAAGGAAATTCCCTTTTAAAGCACAAGGGATGCTTGATTAGAAAAGTAATGATCATAAATTAAGTAACTGAAAGCGCTCCACTTACCAATAATCTTGACTTGATTTGTTGTCCAGCTGTAGAAAATGTAAACAAAGATATTAAGTGCTTCAATGCAGCTGGACAATTACTAAATACAGGCAAGACATCCGCAAGATGATAAATGTAACGTAGTACATGTATTTATAAACAACATTTTCTCCTGAATTCATTGAATGATATGATGATCTGATACACTGTACCCTCTGGAGACGTGTGTACAATAAGGAACAAAAGATTGTATCCGTCTCCACAGGGCAATTTCTATAGATGAATACGTCTCCACAAGGTTTTCACGAAATAGATATATGGATTTTACTCAAAAGCTAGGAATTTCCAAGCTACGTTGATCGTCGCAAATGGAAGAGTTTTAGAAAAGGGATATTCAGTCCAAATTTCAGCCAAGGAAATTAATTCTGGTTAAAATAAGAGCATTTTTAAACTAAACTTTCAAACTCGAAAACTTTAGTACACGAGAACAAAGGAATGTCTCCACAAGTATACAAATTCCAGTATGGGTGAATTGAATACAGTGGATTCCAAGAAGAAAATTATCCAAAGGAAAGAAACAACTTTTCAATAAATCATTACCTGCACATTCCTTCTGTATCCTGTGTATGTCTGTGGAAATGTAGTCAGTTAAGGAATATAACTGTTTTAAGTTTTTGTAAATGTTAATCAGGCAATAATTCAGGCAATAATTCAAACAAATGTACCCTATGTGTATTCCACAGCTAATTCCCCTCCAAAAATCTGCATTAAGTTAACACAGTCAGGACTGAACCATCTAATGACTTTTACTTTATGATAACATCAAGGATACAGCAGAGACCTGTGGCTAGTGAGCCTGCCAGTAAGGTATCTGTGTGAACAACGGTGGGATCTGGAAAGAAAAACAGAAAATTTCATAAATTTGAAGTGGTGGGCAGCCGTTAGTTTTTTACGATAGGTTTGACTCAACCTTATCACTGTTTAAAAAAAAGGACTGTGACATATCACATTGTGGATTTGCTGTACATTTTCTGCCCAAGAGTTGATCGTTCCAGACGCCATATCTACCTTTATTGGTTTGTGGACATTTGGCATAGTGCTTGTGACCGAGTTTGACCGAGCCACCGTGGTCACCTGACTAAAAGGCATGATCCAATTGGTCAATGTTTGATTGACAGGTACATGTAGGAGAGGCCATTGCAAGGAATGGTTCTACTTACTACGGAATAAAAGCTGTCTGAGTTCATCCTGCATGGCGTCATTGACTTTAGCAAAGTGTTCGTATTTGCCGTCTGCTACGTGTCTGGCGCCCTCTGTGTCCTCAGCTGTGGCTGGTGATTCTTGGACGGGATACAAGAACCGACTGCAGGATGAGAACAAGCACCCATAGAGAATAACATGAATGCATGCCAGATTTGTACAAGGAGGAAAAGGCTGTTTTGTGTTTGTTCGAAGGTCACAACATCCTGATATTGTAATGAAACCCCTTAAAAACTTTCCCCCAGTTATAATTTGTTTGGGCTCGAAGAAAAACTTGAATTTTAAACGTGAAACAAACAAAACAGCCCCAGTCCGGGCAACGCCCTCCCCCAGATAAAGACCTGCCAACACTGTAACCTGGCCACATGCACAAGAAACATACAAATCAGGAGAAAAGAAATGGCTGGATTGGACCCATCATTTAGAAAGGAAATACAAAACTTACAAACAGAAAGAAATGAAACAGCAAGAACATCCAACAGCCCTCTGGATGTTCTCCGGGCGTGTCCCAGTCACAAATGTCCCTATTGAAATTACTTGCACCACAGTTCTATATCGCATAAGAAAATCCTTCTGGAATGACTATGAGGCTAATTAAATCATGCCAGACTAGAGCATGGCCAGAGAAGCTTAATACAATAACAAAAGACAATTGAAACTTGCTGTCTGGCCCTAGCAAGGAGAGAGACATAGGTCACTTCAAACAATAGTGAGCTTAACCTGTAAAAGGCTAATCTTCAGCCAACCAACTTGGACTGTTCCATTTACCTATAACTGCACAAGTAATGGATTATTCCAGAGAGATGTAGGTGACTTCAAACAATAGTGAGCTGAAGCTGTAAAAGGCTCATCTTCAGCCAACCAAATTGGACTGTTCCATTTACTTATAACTGCACAAATAATGGGTTATTCCGGAGAGACATAGGTCACTTCAAACAATAGTGAGCTTATCCTGTAAAAGGCTAATCTTCAGCCAACCAACTTGGACCATTCCACTTTATAACTGCACAAATAATGGTTTATTCCAAATTAACAAGGTCCAATGGTAAGGAGTGCTATTTGTGCCTAAGGACGCTTAAAATAAAATTTACATGTACATACAGTGTATGGGGTACAAAATGCACCCAAATAAATAATTGGAGGCAATTTCCTTTATACAATATATATATACATGTACTACTTGATTGCAATTAAGATCATGCATCCAATGAAATCATTGCACCTGTCATTTTGAGAAAAGAGGAATTATCTAATTTCCTTGCATGGTTAGGAACAAACCACACCAATGCAAACCTATGCTTTGTTTGTGTCGAGAAAAATGAGGATCCATTTCACAAGTAACTAAAAAAGTATATCTACTGAGCTGAAATTTCTTCATGTAAAACACTGTCCTAAGGCAAAGATTTAGACTCACCTCTCATTGGTGTGGCTGGCAATGACTGCTATTCTGTTCTTGTAATTCATCATCAAATGAGAATTCACAAACGTCATAATGTGGTCCAGACATTCAAATAATGTCAGCTGAAACACAAAAAGCAAAACATGAAACAAAATTAATCCTTGCTTATTTTGTTAGATGTGATGTTTCTTAAAATATGAGCGCTATCAAGTAAAATATTTAATTCGGTTTGCGAGAATATAACTTTTGTTGGGTAATTAAAACTCAATACCAAAGATTTTAGGCCGACTATTTCTTCATTTCTTGTACATTGCTTGTAGGAGACATAGGTGAAATGATGTGACTGAGAAGCAGAAAGAAAGAAAAAACGGAAATAATGTTGCAACCTGACGCCACTTTTTTCTTCATATATCAATATCATATCCATCATTGCAAAAATGATAAGACATGAATCTTGGACTGAGAAACATTTCCCATTTTGTTAGGAAATACTTAGAAATTTTTCTTGACTCTCCAAAGACTTTGTACACAACCGCTGAAGTGGCGTCAGGTTGCAACATTTTTTTCCGGGAAAATAATTTGAAAGATAAAGTTGCATTGAAGCAGTGCTTACTCCTTTGTCATTCTTGACATCCTGCAGACCCCACCACACTGGGTTGACATCCACAACCACCACAATAAGACTGCCCTCTGATTCTACAACAAGATGAAATGAAAATTCAAACCTATTATAAAATACCGTTATCATGATTATTAAAAAATATTAGACGCAACAGCGAGTTTTATTATTGAAGTTAGGAAAGATAATGAAATGCAGAAATAATAAAAGCTGTTTATTAAGCATGAATTTAGAAGCATTGTTTCCTGAAACAATTCAAAGTGGCACAATCTTCATGCATGGACAATTGGAGTTTTTTGGCAAGATGGAATAATTTTTTTTTTTCAATTTCAATGTGCGTGCGCACATTATGATTCACGATTTAGTTTCGAGATATAAACAGTTCACCACAAAATCAAAGTGGGTACCAACAAAATAAAAGAAAAGATCTTGTTTTGATGTAAATGCAAAATTTTTATTTTTTTTATTTTTTTTTATGGCACCATGGTTTAGGATGTTTTGTATGCCACAACTTTAGTTCTGTTTGTGTTTTAAAAAAATCTGTTTGTGTTTTTCTGTACTTTGTGCGAACAAATGTTTCCAATCAATCGTCTTTTTGATTTATACTTAATTTATACTAAATTATAGATGAAAAATATATTACCAGATCCCACACAGACGTGTAAGCATTCATCTGCTGTGTTTTAAAAATCACTAACTCTTGTTGCAGGCACTCGCGAGTCGCAATTGAAATTGCGAATGGAGTTTTTAAGTTATTGAAATTCACGCAGCGCAGGCATGGCAGGCATGGCAGGCCGCTGGGCATGCTGGACCGGGTCAAAACTCCCGTACACTTTACACGGTACACATAAAATGCAATTTCAGGTAATATTTGACCAACTCAGTTTCAAATGAGCTACCCAATCATTCTGGTATATGCTTATCTCTACACCGTCTGGTTTATATGGGGTTGTAAGCACGACAAATGAGGAAAAATTAGTAAAATTTGCCCCACTTCTTTACGCACGAAATCGTCTGCTTACCGTCGGCCATCTTGGTCACTACTGAAGCTTAAGAGAAAGGCGATCTGATTGGATAAGCTTTTCACTGAGCGCGGTATTCGACCAATCGGCATACGTTTTACTGACGCCTTGTCAGATGGCTGATGAAATCCGTCTGCTAAAAATTACTGCTGAATGTCGTGTGACAAAAGTTGAGGAAATTGTTGTTTTTCGAACTTGACCTGCTCTGCAATACAATAAGATGAATAAAGAAGGTAAATATCTGGAATTTGTGGACTGTGTATTTTATAATTGAAGGCAAAAATTGAATTTCATGTTAAAATAATAACTCAAGTTTCACTTAAAATTGTAGAAAAGGTGTGTGAAAAAATGTTTATTTTTGTCTTTCAAATTCAATTTTCTTTGAGCAGATACTTTGAACTACTTCCAGCAATGCATGGAGGAGAATGCTGATATTTCCAGCGCAGTGGCAGCCATTCACACGCTGATTGAACACCTCAAACTCAGCCCAGGTAACAAGAAAAAAACACCTTAAAAAACTTAATAATTGTGTATTTTGTCATTAGATTTTGGATGTTGTCAACTTAGTTGAGCTTGAAGCTTTGTTGAGTTGGAATCAAATCACAAACTTGTCACAATTTCCACAAGTTTGTTGCAATACTGAACATTAATCCATCCTCAGGCTTTGATCTGAGGTGGCCAAGGTTTTATTCAGTCCAATTTAACCTAGGCTTAACCAAGTTCAATTTGTTGTATGTTTTAGCGGGAACTCTCGCGGGACTCAGGGAGAGTTTGAAAGACTGCATCAGCTGGTTGATGGAAACAGACAACTCAGTCACATCGATATCCTCAGGCTGTGAGCTCTTCTTGAGATTCATCACGCTCACCGCTCTGGATCAGATGGTGGGTCAAGTTACTCTGTAGATAGTTTTCCCACTGCACTGAATTCACCCAAATCAATAATAATGTGATGCCTACAATAGCATTATATATTACAGGTTTCAAAACACTTCACAGTTATTACCCCTGTTCATCAGTCGATGAGACCATTTTTTTCTTCAGCAGCTCAAGATCAGTGCAATCTGGTCTCCACAGACAAAGGTACCCATTTATACTCCTGGATGGAGACAGGCAATTGTAGTAAAGTGACTTGCCCACGAACACAAGCACCATGTTCCCCGTCAGGGTTCAGACCATGTTATTCCAAAACACTCAGATTACGATGAGTGTTTATTCAAACGTTTTGGAAAAAATCATTTTCTTCCTTTTTCTCTGTATTTATTATATTTGCAGAATTTTCAAGAAAGCAAGAACATCTTAGTGGAGAGAGGCAAGATGTATCTTCAGAAAGTCGCAGGATCGAGAGACAAAATCGCAGCATTGGGAGAACCTTTCATCAGAGATGGATGCGTAAGTTTCTTAACCACCCAACTCCCAAACTTACCTCACCTCAAACTTACCGCCCCCCCCCCCCCCTTCCCCCTCCCCCCCCCCCACCCCGTTTCCCCACATCTTTTCCTGCTACACTCTCCATGTCGTATTTCACAAATTATCGTTCTTTACTTAAACATCAAGCAACAGACAAGTTTCTGTAACTGGGTTTCAATATTTTGTTTTGCAGAGTATCCTCACGCACTCACATTCCCGAGTCGTCTTGAAGACGTTACTTGAAGCAGCAGCTAATAAGAAAAGATTCAACATCTATATAACAGAGTCTTGTCCCGACAGATCAGGGTACGTACAGAATATCATTGCCAAGATTTTCAAAATTAACATTCAATCATTGAATTTTTACCATGACTAAAACGTTATTTGTTGTTTCTTTTGAAGAGAGAAAATGGCTAGGAAGTTGAGAGAAGCTGGAATTCCAGTTGTCGTCATACTAGACGCAGCCGCAGGGTGAGAATTCCATTTTTGAAATTCTTTAGCAATTAATTAAAAAGCTTAAATTCCAGTTATTAGGCGTAGTAAAAAAAACGAGTCTCAATAAAATGTAATCAAAATATCATCAATGACCATGTAAAATCCTGTTTCGTCATGATGATCCGTCAGTTTCCTGAAGACGGGCAGAGCATACTGTTCAAAATATTGAAATTCCCCCCAGTTCTTTTCAGAACATCACAAACTCTGTGCTACTGTAAATCTTTATATTATGATCATCAGTGTTATTAATGTTTTCATCATTTTTCACCAATTTCAGGTACATAATGGAAAAAGTTGATCTCGTTATGGTGGGCGCTGAGGGAGTGGTTGAAAGTGGAGGCATCATAAACAAGGTGATTGATATCTGAACTCTTTAGTTTATCACAGGATCATTAGATAAAACTCAGTACTGTTAGCCAAGATTTGGTTCCTTGGTCAAAATAATGTCTCTCTGGTAAAAATAATGCTTTTTAAACTTATTCAGTTTTTTTTAATTACCGGTGATTGTTTTTCCTTAACCGTGTTCCATATTGTAGATTGGCACATACCAGCTGGCAACATGTGCCAAGATAGCCAACAAGCCTTTCTATGTTGTCGTTGAAAGCTTCAAGTTTGTGCGCTTCATCTACCCACTCAACCAGCAAGATGTGCCCAACGAATATAAGGTATTCCCGTCAAAAAATTCCAAACAAACCTAGCAAATTGCAGACACAGACTAGAAGACAGATACTAATTACATGCAGATCAGATGAAACCATATTCCACAATTTGACTCTACATGTTGATTAATGCCAATTATATATTGTCGTTTAAAAGTTAAAGCCAATTAAAAAGAATTTAATTGTGTGAATTCAAACTCAAAAGACATAGCCCTATTTGGCAGAAACCTTTCTGAATGCACAAAAATAATCTTCCACTGTTCCAACAATATATTATGTGTACTTGGAACTACAAGGGGCATCAAGCCTCATGTAAATAATAGTGACTGGGATCTACCTTCCTCAATCCTACAAAATCCTCCACTGTTTAGGAGCCCAATGGCACACTCTTTGTACTTACCGAGTTGCAAGGAAACTCAAGCCCTGTGTGAACTAACAGTGGCTGGGCTCTGCCATCCTCAATCCTACAAATCTTACAAAACCTGGTGGATTTTAAAGGATCTGGGAGGGTTAGGAATTAAAGATGTACATGTAGTCCCTCAAAATATCTGATTAAGTTAAAGGAGTACATTTTATGTTATTCTTTTTTCTTCCTTGTTATTCTCTTCTTGCAGTACCATGCCTCAACACTGAAATCCTTCTCCGACTTAAGCCACGCCCATCCATTAATTGACTACACGCCTCCAACCTATATCACACTCCTCTTCACTGATCTGGGAGTCTTGACGCCGTCCGCCATCAGTGATGAACTTATAAAATTGTACTGCTGAAGCCAGGCCCACCCATCGACTACTACAGAAACCACACCCACCCAATAATTGGGTACACGCCTCCAGCCTATATCACACTCCTCTTCACTGATCTGGGAGTCTTGACGCCGTCCGCCATCAGTGATGAACTTATAAAATTGTACTGCTGAAGCCAGGCCCACCCATCGACTACTACAGAAACCACACCCACCCATTAATTGGGTACACGCCTCCAGCCTATATCACACTCCTCTTCACTGATCCTGGAGTCCTGATGTCATGTGCCATCAGTGAAGAACTCAATAATTGTACTGGTGTGGCCACGCCCATTCATTAATTGATGACTGCTGAAGCCACGCCCACCAGTTGACTACAGCAGAAACCACGCCCATCCATTTATGGACCACAGATGAAACTTGGTCAAGTGTACTCTGTACATGCACGACCCGATATGCATTCATACATGGTGTTTTCTCCATAGGTTGAGTTTCATACAAGTATGTTGGGCAGGATAAACAAATTAGTGGATGATCGTGCAATAAAAATCTTTAATCTGCTGCTAATTCTGGCATATTCTTCTTTACTTGAAACTTTAAGGGACATCAGGTTGAGATTTACATTTGTGTATCTGCATGGGAAAAACCCTGGTGGGTTTTTAAACTATCTTGAAGGGTTGGGCTTTATGTAGATTCATTCATGAGGCAACAGACAGACCCAGAAATGTCTGAAACAGGGTCAATAGGTCTTTGGATAAATTTGGGATAATACTAGATTTGCTTTGAAATGGGCTTGAATTTTATTTTCACACAAGATGAAAAAAAACATGCTTTACTTTAAATACATGTATGGCAGTATACACTACAGTTTCAAAAAGAAAATAAATACAAAAGGTATTTTAATTCAGTATGTCTGTCTTCCTTTATCTGCCAGTGTGATTTCAATGAATTCTGTGAATCCAAGCTCAGTAGAAATTTTTGAAAAAGACGAATATCACTTCCTTGCTTATTAAAAATAAGTCATCTTCAGCAGCAATATCCATGTAAACCCTTTAGCACATGTACATGATTGTGTGTATTCATTTAGGATTACACAAAACCATGTGCTCGAGCGGTTTTGGGTGCTACAGAGAGTAATAGGCAGGGCGGTTTGGGGCGGTACAGTGACTATTAGCTTAAATTCTACACATCATGAGGGCCTATATTTCCATTCGGGTGGTTTGGGACTCTTCTTGGGTTTAATATACTCCAAATAGTCTTCATACAGCTCCAATCGAGAATCGTCGCTGTAATTCCAATGAATCTTGAGATTGGGAGGCAGATCCACAGTGCTCAGTTCATCAAATTTGGTCTTGTCCTTCACTTCTGTCTGGTAGAAGGTGACAACATCGGCCATAGTGTGCATTTTGCTCAGGAGAAAATTGGGAACATCGTGGTTGAAGGTCTTGAAACAATTCACAAGGATCTGGGGAGAGAAAAATAATCATCAACCATTTAATGTTTTAAATATGAGACATTTGTTTTGAAAGAGCTTAACAAATCAGCTTGATCACCAGTTAATTATACTGTAATGAGCCAAATAAACATTTCAGTGAAAATGGAAATATGACAATTGACAAGATTGAGCAATTAGGCTGTAGCATATGTAAAGTAAAATCTGTCACGACAATATGACCCTGCAGGCTGGCATTTATATTTCCGGTTTCCTTGGCATGAAATGACTGAGAAATTGAAAATATTTCTATTCCCCCTGGATGGGATGCAAGGCCATCGCAGGTTACTCCCCAGCTAATGCCGGTGCCCATTTATATTCCTGGGTGCAGAGAGGCAAGTGGGGATGAATTGGCTTGCTCAAGGACACAATATATGGCCAGCAGCTGCAACTGAACCCTTGACCCTCACAAACCCTAAACACAAACATTGCAGTTTTCAATAGTCCTCAGTTCAGGTCACTACATATAACAAAACCCAAACCTGATATTTGATGCTGTTGTCCTTCAATGCTAGTTTTGTCCAGTTTTCTGGTGTAGCAACTGGAACAACCTCTAATGTGATGTCTTTGAGTCTGTCTAGGAGGTCCTCTGGGGGCTTGTAGCTTCTAAGTCGAACTTGCGGTCTGAAAAGGACCAAAACATTTGGACTATCAATCAATCAATACAAAGCACCAGTAAAGGAAAAATTACATACTTTATATATTGGTTATAAATACATCTACAATACATTTACAAGTACATGTAAATGCTAGATACAACAAAAACTTATTTCCTCTGTCAACAAAATATTACTTGTCAATGCACTGTGCAAATAAATAGAGATAAACTTCTGAAGTGAAATTTGGTTTAAAAAAAAATCATCTGTTTACAATTGTATTCAGTAAAGTTTAATACTTTCACGCAGCCATATCAAAAACAAGACATGAGTATCCCACAGAGTCACAGAAAAAAATATGAGCAGGTTTCTGAAGATTGCAAAAACACACCGACCAAAAAAACATAAACAACCAGATTCAAACTTAATTTGGAAACTTGATACCAGAAAGCTTACTTATCAATGAATGCAGCCTTGGGTGTCTGTATGATGTCCATATACTGAGGCTCCACCTCTACGATTTCTTCCTCATCCAAGGAGTCATCTATGTCTTGGCTAGGACCGCTCCCTCGCATAATCCTCTTGACCCAAGACTGCTCCGTGGTCCGGAAAGCATCTTTGACAAAGACGCTGCTTGTAGTACTTAGCTGGACAAGAGGAAGAATAAGCACTTGTCACAGAGTTTAATAACTGGATGGGTCATACTCAGCTATTTTCACGTATAAACATGATAAAGTATTTTTATTGTTGTTAAGTCCCAACTATGGCATTGTCCCCACTATAGTTGGGACGATCCCAACTACAGTTAGGATCATCTCAAGTATTAGGAATTCCCAACTATTGTTAGGACTGTGTCCCAACTATAGTTGGAACCATTACCATAGTTGGGGGATAAACATTGTCACACAAGAATAAAGGAGCTAGTTTGGACATGTTGGAGAGGGGCTGATATTTCACCTTTATGCTTGCTTTATTTGTTTAGGAAATAGTAGTTGTACAGATATTTTTGGGGAATCATATCACAGGCAATGACAGGAGGATGTGAATTGCTGTTCATCTTCAGCCTTCAGGTATAAAAAAAATCTTTAAAACCAATGAACATGTCATGATGAAAAATGAAAATAATGAATATAAATTAAAATTATATATCACGGTAAAGGCGTAAGATATTATTAAGCCTACACATATACAAGCCTTAGGAATTGCTGACATAGCAAGAAGTATATGTAATTAACAGATTTTGAAACCGCAAAAGCAATCACTACTCCCCCCTCCTTCCCGACCGCGGTCTATTCCTTCCTCCATGCCCTTACTAAGAACAACGCACACGCACAACCCCCCCCCCCCCCCCCCCGCAAAATAGGCCAAACTAAAGCGAATTACACGAGACAGCTGAACAATAACTGCATACTCTTTATTTTAAACTGATTAATGAAAAATAAACTACATTTTACCTGTCGCTGAGAAGCACCAACTGTCGACAACCGAATAATTTGGGGCCAAACTTTTCCCACAACTGCAAATCGTGAGAGCGCCATGTGCGCCGCCATTTTGATTTTGATGACAATTGTCCCCAACCGCCCTTTGCGTTAATTCAACAATATTGTCACGCTTGCATGGAGGCTCCCGACTACATAAGGTCCCTACGGAAGAATCCAATTTTAGTAGGGGTGTTTCTAAAAAGTTAGCTATATTTTCATTTATCTTTAAGGCAGTAGATAACTTGTTGTAGAATTCAAAAGTTGCCAAAGTTGTTTTGAAAATATGATGTTGTAAAATAATTCATTTTTTTGTCGGTGATATTTTCTTATTGCGAGTTTATATTTTACATAACACCTCCTAAATGAATGGATCGTGATGAAAACGGAGCTGTGTAATTTCAGTCCATATCGTTTTTGCACGTCCAGCTAGTGCAGTGCAGTGCCGCTGTGCCAGTTTGTGGGAAAGATTCAAATGCTCGATTTGCAGTGTAACCTTTTTTCAGAAAACAATCATTTCTAAACTAAATGGTAAGCAACATGGTTGAAGTGTAATAAAATAGTATTGAAACTATGCCAGAATTATATTTAGCCAGGGCGCAACACAAGAATCCGGATGCCACTTTGTTTCACAAGAAAAAAAGTTCAACTTCAAAGTTCAAGTTGACATGGTTGAAGCTACTAGCTAGTTTACCTTTCAGTTTCATGCCTTTTGGAGTTGAATGACAAAGTTTAATATTAATAATGTGTTCAAATTACTTTTTCAAATTTCAAAACTTGCTAAGTTTGTGAACAGCAACAGAGGAATATCTGTTGCATAATTGCAAGCAAGCATCCTGTGTAAAAACATACACATGATACACCCAGCAGCAGCGGCCGAATTGACATGGGGATAGAAATTTAAAAAATACTATTAAGTTTGAATGTAAAACTGATATGACAATTATATATATTTTTCAGGTGACTGGGATCCATCATGAAGACCAAGTGGAGTCAACAGGACATGGCGAATGCCGTGAGGGCTGTCCGTGAGGATAAGGTCCCACTACTGCGAGCGGCAACCATATTCAAAGTCCCACGAAACACGCTGAGATACCGGATTGAGAATGACATCCCACTTGAGGACCTGAAATTCGTCCAGCGAGGTCCCATCACGGCTCTCTGTCGCTCAGACGAGGAATCCCTGGCTAATTTCATCGTCTACTTGGATAAGCATGGCTTCTTGCTTAACAAGCATGTCATCAATGAATTTGCCTTGTCCATGGCCAAGAAAGAAGGCACCCATGTGAAGTTCAATAAAGGAGCAGGGCCTGGGAAGCAGTGGTGGGCGGGTTTCAGGCAACGTCATCCTGAAGTCAAACTCTGGAAGCCTCGGCGAAGCCATCCTAGGACTCAGGCCATTGTCTCCATGAAGAATAAACTCAAGCGTCATTTCAAGACTCTGAAAACAATCCTCGATGAGAACAATGTCCGAGACAGGAAGCGATTGATCTTCAACTGTGGGGAGTCTGGAGTTGAGGTTGATCTCCCCTCCCGATCGACGAGAAGTTTGCGAGGAGCCAGTGTTGTGGAAACCAAGGAACACATCAGTGTACAGCTTTGTGTGACAGCATCGGGAGAAGCGCTCCCGCCCATGATTATATTCAGTGGAAAGCGCCCTCCTAAGGGGAAGTGCATCCAGGGTGGACCAGACGGTACCTTGTACGGCAGTTCCAAGTCTGGTTTCCTTAATGCGGAGCTTTACCTACTCTGGTTCAAGAATATTTTCCTCAAGTATGTGACCTTCCGCCCAGTCGTGTTGATCCAGGAGGGAAACGTCTGTCACCTGACCCCAGAAATTGTCCAGTGTGCCCAGATGAATGGTGTTGCCTTGTACTGCATCCCGGTTGGTACCTCAAGTTTCCTGCAACCCCTTGAAGTTAGCATCATGGAACCTCTTAAAAAAGAACTGAAGAGCATGGTTACTCAACTCCAAGAGAGTAGCACAGAGCCAGGTCCTGTCATCACCCGCAGTAACTTTGCCTCGGTGTTCAGAGAGCCGTTCAACAATGCCATGACCAAACACACCATCCGAAAGGGCTTCAGGAAAACTGGGATTTGCCCGTGGGATCCCACACGCATCGGAAGTGACGAGAAGACCGAGGAAGAAGTTCACAACCCACAAACACAAGTGACAGAGTTGGAGGCAGTGGAAGTCGACATAACGGAAGTTCCGGAGCCAATCAGAGGTCCGGACAACCAGATCATTGAGATGATCGTAACAGCCGATGACATCGACTCGGAAGCCGTGGTACTAGACCAAGTCATGGAAATGGTTGCCCGTGCAACGGAACCGGAGCCAGAGGACATCCAAGTCAAGAAAGAAGAGCAGTCAATATCCAGTGATGACCTGGATGATTTCTTGGCGGAAGATGAAGACTTTAGTGAGACAGATTTGGAGTCATCGGAAGCGGAAGAAGAACTGAAAGTAGTCGTAGATTAGGAACTTTGAATTCCTCAGTTGGAATTAAACAGAACCCTCAATCCATCAAATTGAATACAAAGCTGAACTTGATGTAGTTTGTCTCTGTGGGCAAATAGATCTAGTGGGCAAATAGATCTTTTTTGCAGCTTCTTTGGTTTATAAACAGGGTGGATTTCTGGTGGTATTTGATTCTGTTTCTAGACAGTGATCTGAGTTGCCTTGCGAAAATCTAAAAAGAAATCTAAAAAAATTAAAGCTATTTAAAAATGTTAAAGCCTTTGAGAATTTTAACCAAAAATAGGTCATCAACATGAGAGTGAATAGTTTCCGAACTTTCTGTTGAATTAAATTACAATTTTCACCTAATGTGTAAGATGCGAGACACAGGAACTGTCACATCTATGTACGTCATGTTCATGTAACCATGGAGGAAGGAATTAATATCAATCCAATAAATTGCATCTGCATAAAATAAAAACCTTCATAAAAAAAATGGGTTGTATTGGATCGCGACATTTCTAAATTACACACGTTATTTAAAGTTACAAGAATAAAACGTAGGCTGAGCTGTACAGGCTTTTTTGCATTTAATTAATTCAAATTTATTAAAGATAAAAAAACCTATAACGTTTAAACAAACAAAGGAAGGGTTTAAAATGCACCACATGATTTCATAATTGTTGGGGAAAATACTAGATTTTTTGGTGTTTTCCCATGAAAGTTAGCATTGTACACATAATTTGTAAAGAGATGTACCGGTACATACATGTGTGTATACATGTATATTTTATTTGTTTTCTCAAGCTGATTAATTAAGGTAAAAGAAAGACTGTGAAAGTACCAGTACCATCAGCCACATAACAACTGCAGTTGAGCAAGTATGAATATAATTTGCATAAATTTATCTTCTATTGTTCAGTCCGAGATAATTTTGTTCACAAATTAAAAAAAACACCTCCCTACAGAATGTTTCTTTTGTTGTTAATAATTTATGAGTCTGTTGTTCTTTGTTCATGTTGTCTTCTCGTTTTATTATACATGTATTTTGTAAATAAAAATTCAATGTATTGTTGTTTTCTAATATAAACTTGTACTGCATGTACTGCGCAAGAGGCAGGCCATAAAAATCGATGATGGAGGGACTGGGAACTAGTTTAGTTGATTCACCCTCGTTCTCAAATCTCGTGTCTCCTTTTGTGTCGTACACTTTGTGGCGCCCGGTAAATTGTCTCTGCGAACAAGGTTGCAACGAGTAGGTGACATTCTCTGTCTGCTAGTGCTACGTAAGTGAAAACGACCAGAAAATGTCGGATATGTTGAAGTTACGGGACTCAGTTTTACAAATTATTCAATTTGTGATATCCACACATATCCTTGCATATTTCGAGATTTTTCTGTGCCAAATATATGTAATTTATTGTGAAAATAAAGGTAAACGATCGGCACAAAAATCTACCAATTGTTTACGTGCGGTCATATGGCGCGGCACGCGCTTACAAACTGGCACAAGTAGTGGCAGGCCTAAAAATACGCAGCCAGTGGCTGTTGTTACGGCTGTCGATCGTCTGGTTCCCTTACCGAATCCTACTAGTATTCAACATCAGGATATTTGGCTCTTAAGACTTGCATCTTGGAACCAGACTAGTCCGAGTAACTTCAGTGAACTTGGATTGAATAAACTTGAATAAGTTGGGTCCAGGTTTCTCGGACTAGAAGTAGAAGAACCAGACGATCAATCATTAGGCCTATCAATCATCATGACGTGACCTTCCAAGTCAACGGAACATGCCGAATGGTTCTCTGACCTTACTTCCCTTTTAAAAAAACGCTGTGGCTCTTGTTACGGCAGCCGTAACGCGACTTTCAACTGCTATCGTTACAAAACTGTCTGGAACTGCAATGGCCAGTGCCATAACAATAGCAGATGAAAATCATGTTACGGCTGCCGTAACGATAGCACCAGGCGTACATTGACAAACTTAAATTAGCAAAAAATTGTATAAATGATCATCATCAAACACAGAAAACTAAAACAATTAGTTAGAATGTATGATGTATGTCACACAATCACTATTGTATTTAAATTTGTACTTGTCATGCTTGTACTTCTTTGTAGGCCTGAGTCCCTTTGAATAATCTTGACACTCAAGCCATCAATCATAACAATCAAGCCATCTTTGAAGAAGTTTTGTTAACTGTGCTGTTGTTTCCAATGGCAGGGACAGGAGTTGATAATTTGACATCCTGTCTATGCGATCGCCAAGAATAGTACAGTTTTACCTCTTGCAACTAAACTTCAAATAAATTTAGAATTTGGGGCAGAGTTTAAATTTTTCGGTTTTTAATATTGAGATTAGTTAATTTAGTTTAAGCAAGCAGTAACAGGAGGTTATTTCCAAAGTTACCATGGCAACTGTCTGTGGACAATTTATGAAGTGGTCAGAAACTGTGGTAACTATGGAAACATGAAATCATCTACAGGAGTCAAATTAGAGTAGATTAGGAGAGCCATCAACAATGGAGCGACACGACAGCGAGAAACACAGCGAACCACCCAGCAAACGATCCAAACTGGACTTGCAAAGTTTGGACATAACCGAGACGGACATAACAGGTCCGTGGTTTCAAGATTTCATATCGGAAGAAAAAAGCAGCATCCAGCCTCAACTGGTTCACGGCACGGTGACTACCGATCCCACAGTCGGGGGTTCAAATCCTGACAGGGGATTCCGAGTTTTGGACGAATTTGTCACGGACGACTTCGATGACTTTGAAGGCAGGGTATGTCTTCCCAGCAAATTGACGAAGATGATGATGACTTATTTGATGATGATGATGATGATGATGACAATGATGATGACACGGACAGTCTTGGCAGTGAGATTGACGCACTCCTCGACGAGGGACTTCCTGAGATGTACAATAAGGAGCCAAAGAGGAAGAGAGGAGGACAGGTCCCGGAGGCGAACGCAGGAGCAAGCAGAGAAACAGACAAATCCTTGCCAGAGGGAGTTGTTGGCGTGAGAACCAAAACTATTCTACGGAGTGAGTATTTGCAAAATAATGTCGCGCCCAAAATTGGTGGGGTAAAAAGGGAGACAGTTATAACTATGTCTTACAAGATCCAACAGCCAACATTATTCGATCTTAGAAAAAAATCCACTATGTTAAAAATAGAAAATTTAAAAAGGATAATCGAAAGTAGATGATGAAATGTTTGATTTTTCAAACTCAGGACGAGGCCAGACCCCATTGGAGGGTCTACCAGACGGTTGGATCTCAATTATCCACGAGTGTGGTATGCCGCTGTACCTCCATCGACCAAGCAGAGTCTGTACGTGGTCTAGACCATACCTGCTGGGGGCTGGTAGTGCTAGGGTAAGGCCTTGACTTTGATCACAGATACAATTTGTCTAGCACTTCTTGATTTGTAATCACAACGATAGTGGGCAGTGGAGTGGGCATGCTGTGACCCAAAACTGCAGTCTTTAAATAAGACACTTTTTCACAAAAATGGAGTAAAGTCACAAATCAAATTCTGCAATAAATACATGTATGGAAAATTGGTGATTTTACTTTCATTCGAAAAAAAAAAAAACAACCCGAACTTTCTAATGGTATGAAATATTGTTGACGGCCACTTAAAGTTTTCAAGAAAAGAGTGGAAAAGGTATATCCTTTTTTTTTTAAATTGGTTTTGAGAACGCATTTAAAAATGAGTTTGTTCACAAAATGTCTTGGGTTGAAAAAGTAAGTTTTACTGATATGGAAATGAGATCTCGGGCTGTCAGAATACCATACAGTTCTGTATCAACTACATTTACAGTTAAAATCATGATAATTTTTCACCGGAGTGTTTGTCACAAGTTATGAAACTACTGTATCTGAAGTACTCGTAACTGAAAACAATTCTTCCTTTAAAAACAATGTTTGCAGAAACACAGACCACCTTTGGCAAGCATACCCTGCCTCCACTATAAACGAGAAAAAGACAAGGAGACTGTCTCTGAACATGACATCGCACAAGCCAATGCAGACGAGGCACCAGACATGAAGAAAGAGACTACCAATGACACATCGACGGATGATCCGACAGGTAGAATTAATTATATTTATATCTTCTTTCTGAAATGACTGATTCCTGTTCCATCTAGGAAGAATGATTAAAAATTCCTTGTTATAAATGTCTTGAATTTTTTTTTTCAGAGAGTAAAGATGGCGAGAACACTTTACCTGAAACAAAGAAACATGATCCTTTACAGAGTCACAACATTCACATATGCAAGGACGAATCAGTTAGTAAGTAGCATTTATCTTATTTTTTTAGGAAAGAATAAAGGTTTCAATAAGTTGCAAGTTCTTGATTGAACTCTTATCTTTTCACAGGTGAAACCGAAATGAAGGAGTATCTGGAAAAGCTTTTTGACTTTGAAGTGGTCTCAATAAACAAATTCAAGTAGGTGTTCTGTATTTGCATTTTCCAACTAAATAAAACTAAAGGTTTCTTTACCAAAAAATAATAAAATCCCAATAAAAATGATAGATGGCTGAAGAAAACTTGTGATCTAATGATCCAACCAAATAATTTTGTTTTGCAGAACGTGGGCCGACAGAAGAAAATACACCAAAGAAGTCAAAGCCAAACATGAAACGCTCAACAGACCTCAGTTTGTGAGTACCGTCACTTATCCAGAAATAAGTGTAAAAAAGGTCGATCTTATTGTCAGCAAAATTATGTAATATAATAATCTCAAAGAACACATTGGCATAATGATCATTCAAATATTCTTTCTGCAAGACTCCTTTGAAAGTAAATAAATTATCCCCTGATGAAATAAATGTGTTAATTCTACTCTATTCTATTTTTATAAATTTTGCTATTCCCCCGTTTTTTCTCTCACTGTTTCAGCCTGGTCATCCTGCTGTGATAACTTGCAAAATACCGGGAAACCAGAAAGACGGAAAGAAAGGTGAGTTTTGATTCCTCATAAAAAAAGATATCCTCTTCTGAAGTATATGTTACAGTGACTTTAAAATTACATGCACACGTTTCAAAAGAAATCTGACTTTTTCTCATCTTGTTTGTTGCAGAATTTGTCCTAAACACCACCAACAAGACGCCAGTGTGTATCCTCCACGAGTACGCACAGATCGTCTTGAAGACGCAACCCACGTACACATTTGATGACAGTGGTAAGCTCTCACTGTTAACACTCCTAGTGGGAAGTCAGTATTCAGAGCAATATGTAAAACCCTTTCAAACACTGCAGGACAGTTTCAAGTGAAATGATATGAAGTATTAAAGTAACTGTGTCGCAGAGAGTCACTGCACAAACAACAGCACAACGGAGAGAAGTTAAGCGTGATTGAATCTGCCTGCTTGCCCTGAGCTTAACCACACACAAGAACTGTGCAGGGATTTGAAGTGTTATCCATACTCCACGGATGACCTCGAAGGAATATGAGGTGTGGGTGCTACCTGTATGGGCAAAAGATTTTTTTACCAAACCTGAAGGGTTGTGCAAAAGACTAGGAGGGTTAAAGATTTCTTCATTGTTTCACATCAACTATCTGCAGCCTGTGTGCCACATAATGAATTTCTTTTCGAAGGAGACACCTAAGTCAAGGCGGCTCTGTGGTCCATAAAGATTTTGGAAAGTGTTCTCTCAATTTTTTCTCAGGAAACGCCAACTGTCCATTCCAGGCCTACGTTGTGATTCACGGGACAAAGTACGGCAAAGGACAAGCGAAGAGCAAGAAAGAAGCCAAGATGGAAGCAGGTTAGGAGTCACCTCAAAAACATATCATGAACAAATTTCGGACACATTTACCCATTTACCCGCAGTGGCCCATGATTTCAAGTATTAGTAGCAAAATTCTTCTCAAAATAACTCTCAAAGAAGAGTGTAATAGAAGGCTTTGACAATGCAAAAATAACCCAAACACAAGTCCAGAGTACTTTTAAGTATTCACTGAAGTACCTTCTCACAAGTATGTCTCATTCTTCTTCAAAGTTTTTAAATTAATTTCGTTTAACATTTTTTTTAATAGCTCGGGCAACTTTGGAGATCTTAATTCCGGGGGTAGTGCTGAATGACGTCACCAAAAAGACCGGCAAGGATCAAGATTCAGACCAGCTGGAGGTAAGATTTAGCATTCATGTGCTAGACCCATTACTGCAGCAGCAATAAATAAAACAAGCTCTTACACATTCTTTAATAATTAAATGATTGGTCAGAAACACAAGAAACAAAACAAAGGAATATAAGCGCTGCTTCAAGACCTTGGTATAAAGCGCTACATAAGCACCTTATTCTTATTACTATTATCATAAATGCCCAGATGTATTTCAAAGAGAAAATAGACCCGTGTTTCACATTTTTCTTTGTAGTATTTTGACCATGTTGCCATCACCGACAGCCGAGTCTACGACCTGTGCACCAAGTCCGGCCAACTCACACCCTTCCAAGTTCTTGGGGAGTACAGACAAAGGTGAGAGGAAGGTTCAGTTATAGAAGTGGAGGGAAAAGCCAAAGATATTCCAGGAAAAACCAGGAATCAGGAAGGGACTGAAAACCCAGTCCACATGAGGACCAGGGCTGGAATCGAACCCGGCCCACAGAGGTGAAAGGCAAGGACAGGAACCACTACGCCAACTCATCACTCCCCAGTTTTTATCACTAAAATCCTCAATGCAATGCTTATGACGTCAACATTTTTTTTTGTCTCTTAGAAATCACGGTATGGAAGCAATGAACTTTAACTATCAAGTCAAGATTACCAACCATCACAAGAGAGAGTACACGATGATACTTGGTGAACACACAGTCACGGTAAGCAAAATTGTAAACACAAATTTTCAAAAAATTGTTGCCTTTCCCTGGTAAAAATGATATGGTAGTTTTGGAAGTTTTTTGTGTGTTGTTGGTTAAACATAATTCTAGAAGGTGTCCTAAAGAAAGCACTGTGAGTATAATAGACAAACAGACAAACCAAACATTTTTTACAAAATACAATTATTGTCCTACCTACTTAGCTGGATAAATTTAAGGGCTCTACCGTAAACACACTACTTCTTTTGTCGGCCTAGGCCTGAAGAAACCTAACAGGAGAAAGTAATAAGGAAATTGCTTTAAGATGAGAATAATACCAGATAAACGATGGGAAACCATCTGCATTAGGAAGGAAATAGAAAAATCTAAACCATTTGATGAATTGGGCGGGATTCGAACCCCAGTTGGTGAGACTATTATGTCAGTACTAGGGTTCAAACTCGAATCCTTGCTTTTAAGCATTTGGGGGTTTTTTTGGAGGTGTTCGTTATTGTCTTAAATTTTGACATCTTTTTCTTGTAGGGATTCTGTAAGAACAAGAAGGTTGGCAAGCAGCAGGGAGCGCAGCAGCTTCTGCAGGTAAGATGTGACAAGAGAACATGATCAAAAGATGCAAGATTTCGGCAGAATTTGTTTTCATAAACATTTATCACAATGCTTTTCTGAGTCTTTTTTTTCAGGTTTTGTTAAGTGTTTTGTTGATATATTGATTTTTTTTTTTATAGCTTCTCCATCCACATGTTGACAACTGGGGAGGCATCATCAAGATATATGGTAAAGGCACCGTCTCCAGAAACATGAAGAAAAAGGTGAAAACAGATCACTAAATAATATTTGCAACTTTTAAATATTTATAAATGTTTGACCATTGTCCCAATTTTCATCACTTGCTTGTTCATCCCTGATTTGATTTGATTTCTCAAAATTTCTTAATTTTATCAAGTTTCTTAAATAAGTGTCCTTTGAAACTTCAGAGTGCCATATTTTGAATATTGGGGTTTTTTTTATTCCAGTTTGGCACCCATGGTAATCTCGCAATTTTTCAGTATTGAAATCTTGCAACATCCTCCCATTTCCTTACAACTTCCTTTAAGTTTTCCTCATCTTTTCCTCATTTTTCCTTAGGAAGCTGAGCAGAGCATCATCCGATTGCAGGCCAAGTGTGAGAACGCCCCCAACGAGGCCATCCTGAAGAAACTCAGAGAAGAAATGATTTCATTTTACGACAAGAAGAAAGAAGAGGTACTTTTATCTTGATTCCATGACCCACCCATTCGCTTAAAATGTGCAGAATACTTGTTTATAGGACATTATTAAACCCATTACCACTTGCATTACATTACATTTATTCTGTGGTGAATACATAAAACTATACAGTACTGGGGTTCGTTTGGCAGTATAGGAAATAATGGGTTAGTTAGTTAGTTAGGTATAAATTTGTAGAATTTGTTCTGGAATGTCATATTTTTACTTTGGTTTCGGTCTTCAGATATTTGTATAATTTGTGTCTTGACAGCCACGCAGCTTACAAATGTAAGGCATCTCCAATTGGGGCATCTCCCAATTGGGGTATTTCCTCATTGGAGTATACCCTAATGGGGTTATCCGGTAGAGTATCCCATGCGCATTGTTAGCTCAAATTGGGGTATTCAAGACACTGGGCAAATCACCCATTGGGTCACTTCCCGAATTGAGCCATTCCCCGATTTGTTATGCCTTCTAACTTGTTCCTCCTTGTGTGTGTGCAACTAAAGTTGGCATATCATCTTTAAACTAAGTAGGTGTTGAGATCCACTATAGGATTATGACCTCGTAAGCAAAGGTCAATGTCAATATAAAAATGTCAAAATATAATTCACTTGTAAACTTTCAACCTTTGATTGTTATATTTCTTCTCTAGATTGCAGATGGAGAAATACAAACCAGTCATGCCAGTGAGAAGATCTTGGACCTAATTTCAGATGAGGTTCCCTCCTTGGAAATGACAACAATCCTCGCTGAATAAAACACTCATTCATTGCCATCTTGCCAAATAATTAATTGTCACAATATTTAGTAAAGGCTCACTTATTACTTCAGTTCAGGGCAAATACATGTCGAAATGAGGAATCTTCCCCACCCTGTACAGTATTGCAAATCATTTGTCACAGGACTTTGCTTAGTCCTCATCTTGACTTGCGTCTTGGGGATACGTGCATCTCAAAATGAGGAATATCTAACTTGTTCATTTTGCACATTGATGACCATTTTAGTATCCTGTTCTTAAACATGAATGTTAACTCCAGATTTCACATCTAAAAACCCATGATATTCTGGTAGTGGGATGTTAAGGTGTATGGCATAATCTGGGATATCCTTAGAATTGTAAAGAATCAATTAAATCCCGAAAATCAACTTAATGTATTATTCTTTTGATTTTTTTAGTTGTTGGGGCATTAATAATGTCAGAACAAGATGAAACAGGGTACAGGATATTTCCATTTTGAAGAACTTGATAATTTTTTATTCCTTAGTTGGGGAAAAAAAATACTATTGACTTTAATAGTGCCATTTTGCATACCAAAGAAACGTTGATTCTCTCTTTAAGAGAGTGATGTTTTGGAAAAATAATGCCCTTTTGTTATATATATTGCCTATTATATCTGCCCGATTACTTGGACAAGGATTTTGTTCTTTTTTTTTTCAAGGCTTATAGGGTTATTTTGTATTTGATGTATTCAAAACAATATTAAAATTCTTATTTGGTAAGTTGCAAATCTTTGTGGAAGTTAAAAATATTGTAACTTGCCGTGTAGGCCTATTGCCGTGAGAAAATTACATTAAGTAACGGTGCTGCGTGATGCGAGATTGAGAGACTTTTTCCATTCAATGTAAAATTGTCAGTTTATGTCCCTAATAAGCTCGCATGGTTGTTAAATCAAACATTATTTATTAGTATTGTATTGTACTGTACAGTAATAATTTCAACACAATATTGGAAATATTTAAAAACTGGGGTATGAAAGAAACAACCAAAAGAATTCAAGCAATAATGAATATGAGTCAATGAAATAAATTAACACACTTACGAACATTAACAAAAATTGGTCAAACACAATGAAATTTACTTTGTTCAAATACAGGTTTATTAATTCAATTTTGAACCTCTAGGAAACTGAAGAAACAGTCAATATTTAATAGAAAACTTTGTGCAATTTTGTTTGCAAGACATAAATTCAAATATTTTACATTGCTGTGTAGCACAACGATGATCATTTTGTACACACTAACAAATATACTATGCGTTTAAACAATTACACAGATAAATTCGGAAACCTGGCAAGAAAATTCAGTTACTTGGGTAATCAGAGATTAACCCTTCATCAAAAAGAAAGAAAGAATTGAACCATAAAAAGAGGTTCTGCTTTCCAAATGTACAGTAAAATGTCACTAAAATACTTGAATGTAAGACTTAAAAAGGATTCCATGATGGAGAATCAGTGAAAAGGAATTTTTGCCGTAGTATTCTGTTTTTGTTTTTTGAAGGGGGGGGGGCTTGGCTCTTAGAGGAACCAGTTTAGCCAAGAAGAGTTGCAGAGTACTTTGCTCAAAATGATGGGTTAACCGTTCCTAGAACCAAACAACTTTAAACAAAAAACAGCGTAAACTTTCCTTTTTATCTGTATTTGATGTTATTGTTGCAATATGGTGAACTATAAGGTTTTTACATTTTGAAATATGAGCCAATAGATGTATATGTTAAAACTATTTTTTTTTTTTAATTTTTTTTCAAAGGTGTGTTTTTACTGGTGGGCGACGTTGAAACTTTTGAGCCATATGATATGCCTGGACTGCCTAAGACTTGAGAGGATAAATTTGAGTTTCTTTCACGGTATTAAACAAACGATGAATGACAAAATGGTTGTGGTATTCGTTCCCTTTATTCTTTCTTTACCGGAGACTTACTGAATGAAGGAGCAAACTAGAACATATCATATCAAATTTTCTTGCAGATCAAAATTGGTCAAAAACCAGTCAAAAGCTATTATACATTATACATCACATACATTTGGTCTACTGGCCCCAGGCCTTAGTATTTTAGTTTGTCCCTAGATAAACTGATGGAATTAAGCCCGTCTCCCCACTGCAGCTTAAGTAAGCCCTCACCCATAGAGGGCGCTGTTCGAAGTCCTCCGGCGTCAGGTACACCACGTCCCCCTTCTGGACCGACATCTCAGCTTTCGACATGGCTTTGTGGTTGTGGAGGACGCGAGCTCTTGCTGTCAGCTTGGCTAGGAGATGGTTACTGATGGAATGTTCTGGATAGCGTGGCTTTATATTGGCAGCCGACTTCTTGGATGAATTATGTGCCTGACCTTATCGTAGAATAAAAAAAGAGAATTTCCATATTTTCATTGACCTATAAAGATATCTTAAATTATCAAAAAACCTCTTAAACGATACCTCACAAAATAGACAATAGACAGCCAACTTGCATCTCCAGATCCATAACATGTTTATATGCAAAACTAATTTTAGTTTTTAATTGTACATACATGTACATGTATGTTCATTACTGCTCACCAAATTCCATTTGTCAATTCAAACTTTCAAAGTATTCTCAGAAAATTGGCATAAAGCTATTTCTTTTTTATACATAGACAAAAGAAATGGCAAAATTATGGGTACAGATGCTGATTGTGGTTGGTATTAATGGGAGGGACATACAATCAAAGGGGAGGAGCAAACAATCAAAGGGGATGGGCATACAATCAAAGGGGGAGGGGCTTACAATCATGGGGAAGGGCAGACAATCGAAGAGGAGGGGCAAACAATCATAGGGGAGGGCATACAATCAAAAGAAAAGGGTATATATAGGGCTTCAAATTTTGACAAATGTATGAGTTTCTGTACAGTTGGAAACAGACGTGAGGAATCCCTACCTTTTTGTTTGGACTGTTGATTTCTTTTCATGTCTCTATTCACATCAATGTCATCCTTGCTTCCAACAAGACGGACGACTCGAGACACTCCACCCCTCCTCCTGCCATCCTGAGCAGTCTGGTTCCTAACCATCTCTGGTCCGGTATCAGACTCATAGTCACTGGTGATAGGACCAGCGAGGTGTTTATCCTTCCCAAAGCAACTTGCAAGTATCAAATTTTCAAGTTCCCTGGCAGATGCTGTGTATTGCCTAGCCTCCCTCCCAAGTCGTTGTTTGGAGGTATTGCCTTGGGTCTCCATCTCTTTGTCTGAGGAGGAGGAGGAGGAGGAGTCTGTTGTGCTGCCCTCGTGGCAGCTGGTGCCGGAGTCTACAGAGTTGACTGAGATTAAGGATAAGGAGGCTACTGATGCTTGGCGCACAAGATTATTTGCTGCTTCAGATTTTCTGATTTCTTTGGGACAAACTACTTGGTCAGTTTTATTTTGACTTGGCGAGAGTTTTTCATTTGTGATGGATGAAATATGGACACCAGTCTGGATTTGAGGTATAAGTTTGGAGTTGGGTTGTTCAAAGTTTGTATTCGTTTCTGGCTTGCTAAGTTTGGTTATCTTGGATGTGGTGCAGTTGTATACATAACCTGATGAGCAACTCTCATTGTCTACAGTTGAGTCTGCATAGTTCTCTTTACGGCTTTCATCACTTGACGAAATTGCCGAGAGTGTCTCAGTGTTCTGTTGAGAGGTGCTTGCAGCATCCTTGTTACTAATGATGAAGACGGTTGGTGCATCAACGATTTTATTGATTATACTGGGATCAGGAGTCATCATCTTTAATGGAGTATCTAACTTGGCTATCTTTGTAGCCGATATTCCACATTTCTCTAGTTTTGGTGCAGAAGATCTGCGTGTGTTGTCTCTCCCGTGCTGCCTTGTCTTTTGGTTGCTCCCTTGTTCAAATGGCATCACTGCATCACCTTTTCGAGATGCATTTTCAAATTTGGGGGAGTTTGAATGGGCGTTCCTAGATGTCTGCTCTTTGTTGTTGGCATGTTTTTGCTCTTTGTGGCATTTCCGCACAACTGCACTACCGTAGTGACCATTTGGGGCTTTGTACTGGGGAGATATAAGAGTACAAGTTTTGTCCCTTCTTTGTGGTTGAAAAGTTCTTTCAAACTCACGAGAAGCTGATTCGTGGTTATCAGTCCTACTTGGTGACTTATATTGCAAATCGTTAGTCCTACCATCGGTGCAGAAGGTAGCATCTGATAAAACTTTATGGTGATTAGAGCTAGATGACCTAGTCTTAGTGAAATTCTCATTTTGCCAAGACGCCGCAGGAGTTAGGATGACATTTTGGTTATCATCACAGCGATACGCGTGCCCCTTTCCCTGTCTGGTTTCAGACCCATCAGTCCTATCTACGCATTCCTTTGACCTGGTTCGGGACCTTCTCTTGCAGTTCTTAACCAGCTGCTGATGCTCATAAGCAGCCCTGTCAATTCCTCTATCACATGATGTCACTGGGTGGGTTATGGACTCATCTCGTGCCCAAGATTTGGGTCGCGATCTTCCGTTTCCCTCAGTCCACGAGTCCCTAGAGTCCCTGACCTCAGGGTTCCATTCACATCGCCGGTCGACCCTCTCCAGCGATCTGGACCTCAGTTTCCTCCGATGACCACTCACAGCATTCTTCAGTTTCCCAATGACTGATTCCTCTTTGGACTTCTCGTACTCTACACCTCCAAATTGCACCTGTTTTCCACCTGACACTGACCCCCTCCTTTGGTCACTTTTATCCTTGTCCATTGGTGATTGCCATCTCTGATCATGCGCGTACTTTGACTCTTTCTCACCCAGCTGCCTTGTTTTACACTCGGTTGGCACTTTTGGCGAGCAAAGCATCCGTCCATTTCACCAATCGATGATCTCATTTTATTTTTCTTCACGTCCTGACTCAGTGGACTCTTGCCAATTTCCACAGTCTGTCCTGCTCTCATTCTGCTTGGCAAGGCATCCCTTGTGGGCTCGATTTCATCAACCATATCATCTTGCCGCCATCTCGCGCCTTTGTTGCTCATTGACAAAGCCTCACATGATCGTGACAGTCTTCGATATTTGTCACCTTTGGCACACCATACCCGCCCTCCTCCGCCTCCCACCTGCTTCCCATTGTCATCTTGGCTCATCTTGGAGTGTTTACTGATGCAGGTATCGTCTTCGTTGCTGCTGGTGTTGCCGATGGAGCGTAAGGTTTCTCTAGACCGTGAGCGGCGCAGCACACCAGCGGCTTGTCGGTCTAGACTGCGACGACGCGTCCTGCAGACAGTGCAGTCATGATCACCATCTGAATTAAAAAATATGAAAGAGATTTGAAGAAATGAGTTGGAATGGCTTTTTGATATCACATTTCTTCTTGAGCTATTCAGGAGCATCAAGCGCAATCGTAATGTAGTGGCCAGGTTCTATGTTCCTTGAATCTACAAAATTCCCCAAATCTCGTAAATTTTGAAGGATCTGGAAAGGTCAGCGTATCCATGGATTTTTGCTTGCTTCCTCTTTAAGCATTTGTTTTAGTTTTCACTTGAATCTTGCGTGAGGTATATTCATCGACTTTATAAATACAAATATTGCACCGTCTGAACCTCAACAACAAATTACTGCTGCTTCGATGACATCAGTTTTTTTATCAATCAACCGGATGCCTCTTAATTAGGGCGTTCTGGTTCCTCGTGGAGCGAAGATGGGCCTGGGCAAGGCTCAGTGAACTGAGTGGTAATGATCTTTGACGTTAACCTTGAAAAGGATAATTGAAAGAAAAGAAGCAGACGAGAATTGCTGTAACCAGTATACTGTACCCACTTTTTAGAAACTGAATAAGAAAATCGGGACCCATTAAAAAAAATACACATGATAGAAGGAGTGTTGGAAGGGAAGTGGCGTTTGTACCTCGAAGGGGTAATTAGTTAGACGGTGTGTGCATAGTGTGGATGACATAATGAGATAAAGGAACATACGGGAACGCGAGAACACATGCATTTACGAAGAGCTAGAATAATTGCCAGTCCGCATCTTTTATCTTAAACCGACATGACGTTCAGTAGTGACATGTAGGTGTAGATAATTATCCTCGACTTCCGTTGTGTGGTTTGTTAGTGCATGATAGAGAGCATTAATTGGGCTGGGGCCAATTAGGCAAACATCAACTGACTTTTTAACGACGATGCCACTTTGCCTGTGTTGTGGTACATGGTCGGTCGTCAATTTTGGAGATAAACATGTCAACTTTCGCCTCGGTCGGCATTTCAAAGGGGAGTGTCTTTAATCAGTTTTTAATGAGCCCTCTTGATAACTGCAGTACTCGACCACGGGCCATCCCGGACGGCCATCGATCGCCGGGAAAACTCAACCGTGCGTCACTAAACAGCTCTCGAAAAAAAATCGACCGTTTTTCCTGAAGAAGTTATTGCCAACCGCGCGAAGTTGTCACGCTGAGACCGGGCCACAAAACAAAGGGCGATAGTGCTTAGTTTTACCCGTGTCATCAATCGTGGCAAAAAAACATAAAGAGTGACATTTCGCGAGCTATGATTTCTTACTCGCGATGCAGTTACGGAAACTGCGCCACGAACAAAAGACTGCGAGACAAAAACGCGCGCTTTTGAAAGTCACCGAAGCCAAAGTAACAAGTGCACGGTCGCCTTGCAATT